GGTGGGACACTGTGAGTTCACTGACCTTTGGGTATGCCAGAGGCCACCTGACTCCCCGGAGCTGCGACCCCAGGGCCCCAATCAATACTGCCCTGTGCCCTGAGGAGACAGATCAGGCAGCGTTTCCATGACTCAGTGTTATAAGGGGATGTATGGTTGCGACCAACAGGGTCATTAAGCCGGACGTGGTGGCACACGCCTGCCGTCCCAACAGCTCGGGAGGCTGAGGCTGGAGGATTGCAACTCGGAGGCCAGCTTCAAGAGCAGCTGGGCGAGGCCCTGAACCATTTAGCCAGACACTGTCTCAAAATGAACAATGCAAGGGGCCGGAGGGCTGGGGTTGTGGCTCAATGGCAGAGCGCTTGCCTGGCCCGTGTGAGGCACTGGGTTCCAGTCTCAGCCCCGCATATAAATAAATAAATAAAATAAAGGGCTGTCAACCATTTTTATTTTTATTGTTTTTAAAGAGGGGATGGGGATGTGTCTCATTTAGGATACAGAATGATTGTATCTCTAGAATAGAATCCATCTCTTGCCATGGGATCACCATTGTAATTGGTATAATCACTTAAGATGTAGAATCGGCGAAGTGGAGCTGTTACTGTGTGTTATAATGTAACGTAGCATTGCATTTAAATGTAATGGTATATCGTTCAGAATGCAGGATTAATGTCGCTCGTCCGTAATTACCGGCCACTGTGTAATCACTATTATAAATAATATGGCCTGGGAATTGAACCCGGGACCCCGACATGCTACGCAGGAGCTCTACCACTGAGCCACATCCCCAGCCCTTTTTATTTTTTTTTATTTAGAGACAGGGTCTCACTAAGTTGCTTAGGGCCTCTGTCAGTTGCCGAGGCGGGCTTTGAACTCATGATCCTCCTGCCTCAGCCTCCCGAGCCTCTGGGATGACAGGCTCGCACCTGTGCGCGGCCCCAGACATTCTTAAAGATACTTTTGAGACAGAGTCTTACTAAGTCGCTGAGGCTGGCCTTGAACTTGCCAGCCTCCTGCCTCGGCCTCCCCTGTGGCTGGAGTGACAAGTGTGCTCGGCCACGCCCACATGATCATTTTGGACACAGAACTGATGGAAGTTGTCCATTGCTAGGAACTGTAAAGTAAAGTGCTGTCCCATTGACTGTACTGTGTCACTCAGGGTAGAGAATGACCGGGTGACACGTAGGTAGGAGAGTGTCACATGCTAGTTACTGTAGTGCTGTCATTTAGGACACAGAATCAGCGTGGCTGAGTGGTAGGTACCAGGAGCCACAGGTAACCATGACAATTCCCGCAGTGCGTCTGCCTCGCCCAGCCTTTTCCAGCAGTTCCGAGGTCCCCAGCGGCTGGTGGCACTAAATGACGGCAGAGCCACCTGACGGGCAGCTGGTGAGAGGGACAGAGCGCGGGAAGGTGCCCGTTTTCGGCAGACCCAGCCCTCCCGCACCGCCGCCTGTGCCTGTGCGCTGCTGCGCCCTCGTGCGCGCTCCCCTGCCCCTGGCGGCCTCCCGCCCCCAGACGCTCCTGTGTGTTCCAGGGCCTGCGGTTCGAGGTGGTGCCGTCCAAGTTCAAAGAGACGCTCAGCAAAGCCTCCTTCCCCAGCCCCTACGCCTACGCCATCGAGACGGCCAAGCAGAAGGCCCTGGAGGTGGCGCACCGACTGCACCAGGCAAGCGGGCTGCCCTGCTCCCTCGCTGGGTGGCACTAAGGGACCGCGGGGCGCGCGGATGGGGCCCGTGGGGCGCGCAGTCGGCGCACGCAGCTCCGCACCACGCGGTGGCAGGAGTGGGGCTCGCTCCTCTGCGGCCCTTAATGCCGGGGCACTCGACCAATGAAACATAAAATAGGGCTGGGGGTGAGTTGGGGGCCTCTCGAAATTGCTGAGGCTGCCTTTGAACTCGCG